TTCTCAGCTTTTCCTTCTTCCTCTCCCCCTGCACAAGTAAATACTTCTGAATAAGACATCTGAGTTCCGTCATCTCAGGGAGTGAATCAGCATCGTTGTTCCTTGAGCTTTGGTGTCTCTCATGGCCCTGCCCTTTTCACATATTTCCACATTACTTACAGGGGTGGCTATAAGCCAGGTGACTGAAGTGCTGATTCCAAAGTAGGAGTGACCAGAAGCCACATATATACCAAAAGTGGACTGATTACAGTGGTGGGATGCATTTTAATTTAATTTATGTGAAAAGAATTTTGCTCTGGCTTCTATTCTACTAATCAACCATATTTACTTGTATGATTCTGTTGCTTGAAGATTGCTCTTTGATCATTACCCTTTCAGTATGTGGAGGACTTATTTGACATGTGTCAGTCCCGATCTTTATTAGGTGTTAAATACAAAAATCCCTCAGATGTTCAGTAGGAGAATAGAAAACTTTTTGATACAACAAAAAATTTGTTACACTTTAAAAGCCTATGTAAAAAAAAAAAAAGGCAAAATGCATAAAGAAAGTATCTGTTGAATTAACCATTCAAGATACTGTATGTGTAAATAGAGCCTATTTATTAGTGAGCTGAACTAAAATGCTGGATTTTATTTGTTGAAATGGTGGAGTCTGAGATTATTTTCCTTTTTTTAACAAGGGTTTGCATTTAAGGAAAGCTTTGAAGTAACTAAATACAGATGTTTAAAAATGGGGCTTTGTTTGCATAATATACACCTCTCACCTTCCTGTTCCTTAAATACTAAGGATTCCATAGGTACTGTTTTGAGATCATATAACTTTAGGACTTGCTGAGGCTTTACTGTTCAATCATTTTTTTAACTATTATCCGTTTTCTTTAGGAATCAGTCTTTGTAGGCGTTGGTGCTACAGAATATGGGTTTATGTGGACCATGTTGTTAGCACCAATTATGTCAAAAGTTACCATTCCTGGTGCACAAGCCTTTCAGACAGCCCTGTTGAAATCAAGTGATTACAAGGTTACCGATGAGGAAATCTTTTGAGAGAGCTGCAAGTAGGCGTTTTGTTTTGTTTTCAGACAGTTTGCTCTCCAGGGTGGAAAATGTTACACATTAGGGGTATTTTTGAGTTACTTTTTTTTTTTTTTTTGGGGGGGGGAACATTTAAAAAAAAATAATTCTAATAAGATATGGGAGAAAAGTGGATGGCAACAAATACACGATGTGATAGATCTGGTTGCTTCAATGCTATTGCAATATAGTAACTACAGATTACATGAAAATGGTTTATTTTACTAGCTTCTAAATAATGTATATATGGATTTGTTAATGGCTTATGAGTCAAGCTTATTCTCTTTGCTTTTTAAAAAAATAGTTATAGGCATGTTGTATTTGCCTTGTGTAAATTATAAAAGGCTATTAAGTTTTCTGATAACTAATCTATTTATTAACCTGTAATGTTTTAAAATAAATGATTTATTTCTAGCTCAATGCTTGTTTTGTGACTCCTCCTCTTTATCTTACAAAAAAAGTGGGGTTTTTTTGTCACATATGTAGGTGTCATAAGGTCTAATCTCACTCTGCGAGTCTGAACTATTTCTCTTACCCTTTTATAAAATAGCAGCCTTTCACTTTCACTGATAGTAGAAGATGCACAGATCAGTTGCCACACTGAGTCATCATATAGTGCCACACTTGATCATTATATAGTGGTGTCTGCCAACAAACTATAGTTCAATGTCTTAATTGTCCTGGAGTTTGCTTACAGGTGAAATAAACACTTCAGCTTTGGGGAAAAAAAAATGTTACTTTCCACCCTTTATTTTAAGGGTTATCAGCATCTGTATCCATGTATGTCCATGTATCCCTGTGCTTTGGCTAGTGGCTAGCAATAGATGGCTTTTGTGGAAAGATCTCTTGCTTTATAGTTGGGTGTGCATGAGGTGACAACAAATATCAGAGAAGTCCATGTTGCCAACCTGATTTACTGTTGTGTTTCCTACAGAGGGAATCAGTTATAAAATTGAGACTGACCATCTTTATCTGAAACAGATAGCCCCTCAAGGTTAACTGTTGTGCTCTTATATCAGGTACAGGGAAACAATTTTTTTTTTATGGCAAGATTTATGATGAAGAACTATATTTCAGTCTGTACGCTTGCACTGAAGTGCATACATGAGTATTAGTGCAGGTCTAAGTTAAAAGATGCTTTTAAACAAGTTCCTTGCCAACAAAATGTTGTACACAAGGAAAAACACTGCCGTGGATTCCTCAAAGCATATGTCCAGGTACAAATTTATTTTCAAAGGTGGCAAGTGATACGACTCAAGAAAGAAGATAGGAGAATCTTTCCTGTTTTATAGTCCTTCTATAGACATGCAGGATCTCTGAATTACGTGAACAGGAAATAGGAGTGTGTATTTTAAGAATGCATCTTTAGCTGGAAAATTCTTTTCAACTCAGTTCATCTTGTGCAACTTTGCAGTTAGGCTTCTAGAGCAGCCTTGTGATTAAAGGGATTGTATGCCATCTATACTGCTGTTGTCAGTGCCAGAGTGCGACACAAGCACGAACCAGCCCTGAGGATAAGTATCTCACTCTCACAGTTCATAGGGAAATAGTATTAAAAAGACTGAGATCTGATAGTGCCATTTCCTTTTCTTCCATATCGAGAGAGAAATAGTGTTTATTATTATTATTATTTTCCCTGAGTTTTCCATGTTCCAAGGGCTGCCCAGTCCTAAGCAGAGTCATGTAGAGGGGGCTGGAAGAGTTTTATGATGTGATAGTACAACTGTTCTATGAATCGACTTGGAGCCCAAGATTTGTGCTGTGGCTCAGCCCTCCTCGCTGAACGCGCTGGGGACGTGGCCTCCGGTGACCTTGTGGAAGCAGGAAGCTGCAGTTAAGCTCCTGCCGTGTGCAAGCCTCGCCGAATGGATCAGGCCTTGGGGGCTGCTGCTCGCACAGCTTTCCTGGGTGGCATGTGGTGGTTTTCACTGCAGTTCTGCCCCTATGTATATGGAGATCAAAATTGCTGCCCAAGAGTCAGCTGCTAGGCCATGCAAACCGAAATACCTGCCAATGGTCCCCAAGGCCTTGTGCGTGGCATTTTGCTCTTTGTACTGCTAAAACCTTATGAGATGTTTATAAGCATAGGAGATGAGTAGAGCCGTGGAAAAAAAAAAAAAGCCCAGAGCCCTGCACCAATCATCTACCTACCAGACCTCTCTTGGGAAATACAGTGAGTGTAAAGGTGGACTGCACTGCTGAATGAGTTATATTACAAGCATAGATTAGTAGATTAGGCTAGGTAAGTTACCATCGTTCTTATATTTGGAGTATACGCAGATACTCTGAAAGCATCTCTGCAATACTATGCTGTTACAAATTGCTCAGAGATACTTGAATGTTTTCTGTTACAGAGCACAACCCCTGGCTTGAAATAAAAGTTGATTGGTATGTGGTGCAGTTAATTGTAATTAATACTTTAATATCTTGTGTGAACAAATCAGAAAATGGTAAGCAGAATGAGTTGAGAGAAGGGGAGCACTAAGATTGACAGATCTTGACTGAATTCCCTCAGAGGGTTTTCTGATACTTAAAGGAATTAATATTTTCAGGCGTTTATTTCCTTGAGGGTTCTCTTAAGTTGTTTAACATGCGTTTTTGAAGAGAAGAGAGTAGGAAGGGCAGCATAAATTTAGTTGCTTTAGGCATTATTACCATTTAACACAGGAATATATATATGTATGTGTTTTCAACATTTGTCATGATCATATCCTTAAGATTTTAACTTAGGTATGGGTGTTCCAGTGCATACTGTACTATTTTAGGTAGTATCGGTTTTTGTTTTGTTTTATTTTAATCCATTTTAAAGCTATATTGGGGAGTCCTTGCTTTTCACCAGCTGTTGAACTTTTTCAAAGAATCTAAAGGTTTTGTATCTTGCAAAAGACAGAAGTGCCACTCCTCCTGTGTATTACTTGGAACTGCATATCGCTCAGTTTCCATACGTACATTAAACAGTTGCACAAGTGCAAAGCTTATGCCATGAATATGAGATTAGTCTTAAAGTGGGGAATACAGTCTTGCTTTTGGGAATAAAGCAGGCCTAAAATCTATCTGTTTGCTCTGACCCATATATTCTAGGAAATATGTATGATAAGAGTAGGGAGCCATTCTGGTTCTGTTAATGGGAAGAAATTCAAGACAGGAGTGTTGAGGAAGAGCCATGGTATGGGTTTGCTCTGTGGGAAAGCCAGGATCACTTCTCTGTCCTAGTTCAGAAGGAGAACTAAAATGAAGCAGCCGCTTCCGAAGACCATGGCTCGTCCAACACAAATCATGAGAAAGAAAAGAAATAGAGGTAAAGTTGGTAATAAAATACATATTTAGGAAGGCAAAGTCACATAATCTGTGTGGAGCTGTCACAAGTATTTTGGGAGTGTAGGTTGCCTAGATTGCACATTTGAAGGCAGCTTTGGAAAATGTTTAAGTAGTCTTAAAGAAGCTGAAGAGTTCTGTGCATCTCAAGATTCCAGCTGCGTGTATGAAAGAGCCATCAGTGTAAACTGGGCAGAAATATTTGTATCTAACCACACATACTAATTACACTTCACGTGTGATTAAACTGCTTTAGAGCCTGGATTAAAGAGTGTGAGATATGAATGAGTGTTTAAAGGAGACACAATTTGCCAAAGAATGTAAAAAAAAAAAAGTATGTGATTTAAAAGATTTTTGTTTGTTTGTTTGTTTTCTCTGTAAAATATGGAGAACTCTGTCAAGAGAGCTTGGGGAAAGGGGGAGTGGGCAGTAGGGCTCGCAACGGCCGCCGAGGCGGTGACGTCACGGGGGGCGGGGTTAACGGCCGGCGAGGCGGTGACGTCACGGGGAGGGCGGGAAGGGGTTAACGGCCGGCGAGGCGGGAGCGTGACGGGGGGTGGGTGGAGTGCCGCTTCCACCCCTTC